CCCTAAACGGGGCGGAGACTGACCAAAAATTAGACTCTGTGGGCCTTTGCAGAAAGATCTTAGTTCAGCTGGTGGCAGTTACATAACAGAAGCCATAATAACAAAGAAACCAAATTGCTTCTTTAAGAAAAAGAATGGAAGTCCTATACATTCAGTCTATCATCACTCCGACCCTTTCTCATGTGCCTGTCTGTATCATATTCCCCACCCTTCATCAGGCTTTTATCTTCTCATTTACATTACTAGGCAGGGACTGCCTTTTTATATCTCTGTACAGCACCTTGCAAAACAAAACCGAACCTTGGCCCCAGCTGGGAACTGAAAGCACTACTGAAATACAAGTGATGAGCTCAACTTTGGCGCGTAGGTCCCTTACCAATCTGCCTATGCAAGCCCAAAGGGGACAACTTAGCTGGGAGAGGGAACGGTTAACCTGGCAGAGCCTTTATGCTGAGACTGACAAGAGCGAACTAAGCCACAGCTGTTGCAGGAGTGGCTTATGTGCCTGGCAGGAAACACACTGAGACTTCACCAACTCACTGTCAGAAACAACAACACAGCAGCAGCAGTTTTCGATGGTTCGCTGCATTCAGACCTGCACTTTGGATGCAAAAGCTTCAGTGTGCTGTGGTCAGGCCTCAAAAACCTTCCTTATGTTCTCACTGCAATCTCTTCTTCCAAATGAGATGTTAAAGCAAAAGCCTTACCCAACATTGAGAATAAATCTGACTTTGAGGTACTCGCATTCTTCTTAGAGCTTGGTGATGGCTCAGAGAAGCGTGAGGAGACTGCCAGACTGAAGTAGGCTCCAAACAGGTGAACATGCATCAAGCTGACATTGTCTGGAACCTGTATCAACAGAATAATCAAATTTGTGGTTTATTTCATCCCACAGGAAGCCTTCGGTGCAGTTCTAGATATATTTGCTTATGTAACCTTCCTATAAGCAATTTATTTTCACAGTCCCTCAGTTTATGCATGAGTTAGTTATGCAAGATTAAGTTATCTGAATTCAATGCAGCTCACACAATTCATATACTGAGAGTTTGGAGCATGTTTACATTGTACATTAAACGCAGGTCTGATATTGCTGTCCAGGCTGGGCTGGAATACCATTCACACTGGAAATCACACCGGAAAAAAAACAATTAGTGCCTTAGCATAGGTCAAGGCTTTCATTCATGTGTTGGGGATGGTCAGGGCATGAGCAAGGCCAAATGCACTACATCCCAATCCATCAGATCAGCTCCTCCTTTAAGGCCAAGAATATAGATATAGCCAATTATATAGAGTATGCAGGGTTTGGAGATCAATGTCCTTAAGTATATTCCCAAAGTCAGACTTCATCTCTTAATGAAAACATAGCCACAATCTAATTGAGATGAGATAAAAGACACTGCTGTTCCTGTCAGCAGAGCACTAACACACCACCTAAAGGCAACATTCCGAAGCCCCAGTGAAATTTACCCCCATGTGCCTGGAAATCATACTACTGTACCTGCAGGAACATGTTGTTGATCCATCTGCTCATACGGAAAACTATTATCTCCACAACTGTCATCAGAATTAACTGCATAGGATTAGTCTTCCCAAGAACAGCTCCAGTGGAGATGGCCACAGCTGTCATACTCATAGTAGCCTTTGTTATTCTGCAGTAAAAGAAAGGAAAGAAGAAAATAATTCTGTAACGGGACACCACCAGGGCCAACGAAGAAAGAATTAAGTAAAATGTACTTAAAAACCCAAAGCCTTCTAAAACGTCCGCAACTATAACTGCGCTAATTCGCAAATAGGTCCATATAACAAGGCATTATCCTCCACAAAGAGCAATTAGCAGTTCTAGATTATTCCAATTCTAACATGAACTAATTACCTTTTCAGACCATCTTCGTTTTCGCTTTGAAAAAGGAAAGCTAATAAATCTTCTATCAGCACGGAGCATTGGACACCAAGTACAATGATCAGAAGGTTGAATCCAGTGCTGCTAAATCCATATCTTTTCAGAAATGTCAGGAAAAAGCCAAATCCAAAAATCACCATGTGGTTGACATCTTGAAAAACTGCATGACAGAAAAGACCAAGACAGCAATGAAGTTATTAATGCAGACTGGATTTCTGGTTTAAATAAATAAATAAATAAATCACAATTAACTAAGAAGTCTTTAGATAAAAATTCAGGTGTCATTATTATTTAGTACTTGTAAAGAATTCCAGAGCTTTCTTTCCAATCTATAAGTAATCAGAAAAACAATACCCTTGATCCTGAATTTATTTTTACAAAGTGATCAGAATGGATGCCATAGGATGGGGGTTGAAGGGGCCAAAAAGCATGACAGAAATGAAGTACGTTTAGCGATGATATTTGGACATTCATTTTCCCTGAGGTGAACTGAAAGAGCTTAACTTGGACTTTTCAGGGAGAGTTGCTGTGAATTCGTGCTGATTCATTCCTTGAAGGCTTTAGGGAAGAAACGAGTTACAAAGAGAAACCTGTATGATGTCCTCTTCTGGGTAGAAGGAAAAGGAACAGAAATAGCAGTAGAAGGATTTAATATGGAAACCAGCACCACTGCATAAAAGGAAGAGGCTGTCCAAGATATAAGCACTTGGATCTGTAGGTCTGGAAGCGTCCCTCGGCACATGCTAACCGTCATATTCTCGTATGGTTGTGTCGCCCTGTACCTACAAATATCAAACTGCTGGTAAGTAGATCTCATTTTTCAAGCTATAAAACAAGGAGGGTAGCACAAGGATGTCATGAGGATTGATCAGCTCGTATTTGCACAACACTGTAAATACGTTACACATTATGGCCATAGCATGATCTGCTAATACGTTCCTTTGATCAGTGCACAAAATACAACTCCACAATATATTTAAACCCTTAATTCCACTGTATTTACTTCATTTATTTACATCAAGCATTCAAATGGAAAATACTGTCATCCTGAATTCCTACTCTGTAGCACGACGATGCCTTCGCATGCCAAGACCTCACAGCATTAGGCACTTAACCCAGAGCAGTGCCTGCCCGCAGAAGTTTGTTACGTTCATAGGAGTCCAGATTACCACCAACAGGCAGCAGAAAACAGACCATGCTCACTGTCTTTACTTTGATCTAAATAAATACACCCCATATATGGCAAGGCAGGGGACTCAGAGGGCAGTAAAAACATTCTACTTCTCACTAACAAATACACGAACCTGCTGAATCCCATCTCTGTCATAAAAGCAGGCATTAACCCTTCCTTTCACAGTAAGGCTGCCAATCTTACCTGGGTAGGAGATGTTTGATATGGATGCATCACCAGTTGAGAAGAAAAAGAGGACAATGAAAACAGCTTCCAGAAAAAGGATTAGCCACGGCACGTTATTTCGGAAGTTGCGGTATTTAGAAGGCATTGTGCACTATGCACAAACACATTAGTATTTTTTTCTATAAAACTGTTCCAGTAACCTCAAACCAATAGAAAAGGAGGTGTGGGGGGGCAGGAATAAAAACTCAGAGAGATAAAAAGCCCAAGAGGCGTCAGCAAGGAACAGTTTCTTATCTGTGGCATGTCAGGAGCCCAAAGTTACCACAACTGACATGGACTGAATTCAGAAAGTACTCATGAACGCAAACATACCAAGCTGTCAATACTGTAATGCTCAAGGATACCTCCCAAACAGTACTTCAGCTGCCGTTGAGCTGTACCTATCACCTAAAGGGCAAGTAAAGAACACAGACTCATATAAGAACAGGATGTTGAAGTTTATGCAAAACCATTATTTATTTACATTGCTCCTATCCATCCTAGACCCGAGCCCCTTCATGTAAAGGTTGGGGCAGGTCCTGTTGAGATTCTCAGTGTTTCTCAGGTTGGTTAGGACGCAGCTCTACACCCATGTCCCATGACAAACCTCCTCATACGTGAATCCAACCCAACACCAGAGAATCAAGAATCTCTGGACATGTAAAGGAGAGGTAGCATTTCCTACGTTTATCGTATGGCTATGGAAACAGCTCCAGTGGACACTCTGGAAGACCCTGGTAATCCCCAGGCCAGGAAGCCGTAGGCAGACAGCACCGTTCAGAGTGCCGCAGGCTTGTAACCGAGAACCAAACCACAGACCTACATCCTCCTGATTCTTTAATTCAGCCCTAACCTTCATCCAGAAGTGTATCAACATCTATTACCACGTTGTAGCTACAAGCTAACTGTTGCCTTAGAGCTTCTGAGCCTTTTGGTAGGGCACAGGATTTTGTTGTTGGTTTTTTGGTTTGTTTTTTTTAAATCGGGAGCCATTAAAATGAGCATTTTGGGCACATGTGCAGGGCTACATGGTGGAAGCTAACTATGTTCAGGACATCCCTACGCACAGACATTGTAATTTGTTAGGTAAGATTATCTGTCTGTTCAGGACAATTTATGAATCCATACTATGAACATTACTATCTTCTCAGTACTCATTGTGCTTTTGGTAAACTAAACGCTTCTTTGTTCAGGTAGTCCAGGAGATTAAAGTACTGTAATTATGTCTCAGACTTTCTACTTTGAGTAGTAGCATTTCAAAGCGAGTACTGCGCTTGTGCGCTGGTTTTTGAGATAGTAACGAGGCATACAAATGGGTAGAAAGCCACCTACTGGTGACAGAAATATGTATCAGACAAAAACAGATGCAAAAAAATTCCAGTTCACTTGTATTTTAGGACATTCCGCCTGCAAACCCAGGCTGTATGGGACAATAGTAGGTTTGCATTTGTGGTGATAATTTGCACCTTCCTCACACGCAATACCAAATTGCTTTATCAGCTTTTACTTAGGCGTAATAAAACCATAATTTAAGTATCCTTACCCCAATTTCACAAACTCCTAAACAGCATTCAAAGGACTTTCCTAGGCATGCAGAGCGCTGCCGTGACTTTAGAAAAATCAACACTCAGCTCCTTTTCATGGGAATTCTGTGATCACATGGGCAATTCAGACAGAACCAGAACGTCTGGTGAACCTTCTCTAGACAAGAAAAAGATTAAAAGCTGAAAACAGCGATTTAGAAATTGGTTTAGGTAACTGGTGCATTGTCTTTGTATGGTTTATAAATTCAATTTATCTAATTAGCTTTCATCTGTTTCCTGCAAGACAAACCCTTAGGACTCATACCCTGGATGAGAATCACCCAGAACTCCTTCCACCATTTTGCCCTGGTCAAACGAACACAATCAGCTCTTTTGCCACTTGTTCCCAAATGCCCTGTCAGCATTAACACTCAGGGAAAATACCCCAAAGGCTAGGAACTGACCCACGTTTTTCCCTCAGGACGACACGCCGCACTGTAAACGCTGCTGCTCGGATTTCCAGCTTAAAGTCCCTCCCAAACACAAAGACCTACGCTCGGTGATCTCAGGCAGGGTTAAGTACAAAATAGCTTTCAAACCAGAGCTCTGCTACCAGCAAACCGCCCCCATCGTCTCGGCCAAGGGGCCCAGCAGCCTCACACGCATTCCTCTGGGCCAGTTTTACCGCCCTACCGGGACCCACCCTGCTCAGACTCAGCCCAGCATCACGTAACCCTTGCGCTGGGAGGCCCGTTATCCCCTTGAGAGGCCTGGCAGGCCCACGGCACCCAGCCCAGCTGCGGGCGAGGCCGGAGAAGACGAGGCAGCAAGCAGAGACGCGTTGTGTCTCAGTCAGCCGAAGGGCGGACCG